AAGCACTGGTTTTAACATAATGGCGCTGCTTCTGTAAATAGAATAAGGAACATTTGTATGTGCACAATTTGACAAGGCTAAGGCTAACATGTTCCATAACTATCTATCTATCTATCTATCTATCTATCTATCTATCTATCTATCTATCTATCTATCTGTCTGTCTGTCTGTCTGTCTGTCTGTCTGTCTGTCTGTCTGTCTGTCTATTATCTGTCTATCAATATTTTCCCAGATTGTCAGTTTGACAACGGAAAAGCGAAAAATAATGGTTGGAATTAATGTATTTGTGACCCACTGTAAGCTTCTGAGGGTTGTTTAGCCTTGAGATACATAGTACATATCTGATTCAGCATAGATCACTCTAGCTTGACGCCTTTCTGCTTTGCTTTCTGTCTTGCAATGGCCAGTGACCACATTTGCTAGGTAATGCGTTTGGTGGTATGATCTTTGTAACCTACAGAACCAAGAGTAGTAATATTTGCTACTGGGAGCAACCGAATGAGTTGGTCCACATGCATGTATGTAAATGTTACTACATTAAATTCACTGTGTTACTTTTATCGCTGTCTAGCAGCTAATTAGAGAAGTGCATTCAAAGCACTGTTAATTAACACATACGGTACAATCATGATGTGGGAGTTCATGCTGTTGATATTATTACTGTGCATTCATAAGAAAGAAATGTTTGTATAATCCTGAAAATATTTGACTAAAAGTGTTGATGTATTTATTTATCCCCCATGTTTTTTTGTGCTGACGTATTAGAACATAAAACCATTTGCATCAGTCTCTGCCCCCATAGGTGCTCTAAATCTAATAACAAGCTCCTGGCACGCTCATACACGCTAGGACCATTTTTGGAAGAAACTGATTAACCTACAGTATGTTCTAGATTGTCAGAACAAACTAAGTACCTAGAGGAATCTCACACAAACACAGGGAGCACATACAAACTTCATGCAAATACATGTCTAAGATACAAATCCAGACCTCTAAGATAAGTGTACTAACCACTTAGGCTCTATTTACAGCTATGAATGCACTGATGCGCATTTCATTAAAGCAGCCTATTACGTTTGGCTTGCCCCTTAATGAGCCTCAATGCACAAAAGAAAACCCTACATTTTTTTTGTTGGAGGGTGCACTGCAATGAACAGTGTGTTCACATCTGTAAATTGTGGTCCGCTGAAGGCCAGGTGCTTTTGTTTATACTGCACATGTGCATTTGGGGCCATTTAGAATGAATGGCAACACACTCCAATGTACATATACAGTCTGTTATTGTGCATTGCTGTAACGCACATCAAAATATATCACAAGCATAACTGCAGGTGAATCCAGTTTCGTGATCTTTTTGTCACAGCAAGGCGAGATCAGATAAGCATGGTGCAATTTGCCACCCTTTCTGCATAGATACGGGAACCAATAAAGTAAGGTTGGTGGTTGAGAATGGAAGCAAATTGTTGCATGCATCATCTTATTGTAGTGCACACCATCTGCAATAAATTAATTTACTGCAATGCATATAGTTTATCATACGATTTAATTTCCTGAGCCATCCTTTTAGCGCTCTTCTGAACACTTCTGTTGCACCAAAAATTTACATCTCTTATTTTAATTTTTGTACCTGTCACCACCATCTGCTATCACATGGGGGGGCTTGGGGTTTAATAAGTAGTTGCGCTAATATTACGCAACATAAAAATTTGCAACTACCACCATTTTATTCTATAGGGTCTTGGCATTCAGAAAATATATAATGTTGGGGGGTTTTAAGTAATATTCAGGCCTAAAATGTGGAATATAACATGGGTACAAAAAAATGAAAAAAATCCCTCAGTCATGAAGGGGTTAAACATTTTATGGGCTCATGCACTATGGAGTATGGAAATACATGCAGGATCTTGCAATCTTGAAAAAAAAAGTTGTCTAGACACATGTAACATTTGTGCAACATTTACATGTGTACAAGCCTTCAGTGTTGATGCAGCCTAATGGCCACCACCAGTTGAAATGTCAATATCAACAATGTGTAGCCTGTCCCCGCTGATTAGACATACTACTGATGTTTGTGTGTTGGCCCTGAATGAGTCATGCATCAGCATGAGCAGAATGACTGGTCCTTCAGTCACTCATGAAGAACTGGCTGAGGTCTTTCTGCATATTCATGGCCTCTGATGAATGACTCATTCAGAGTCAACCTATGTCTTTCAATGCTAAGATGCAGGCAGCTCAAGACGTTTGGCATTCTTCATTGCTAAGGCCAACAGGGCGTATTTGGGCTATGCGGTGTACACAAATAAATGTTACACAAACATTTACATCCCTTCAGTGTAAATAGCTGAAACGTACTGCACTGAACACAGCTGTGTCCTATTTTTTAATATGCAGATTATGGAATTGTATGCAGCTTTATGCATGTGTCCAACCTATATCCTACAGCTGCGTTCAGCCCCGAAAAAAAAAATGCATCCATTATGAATCTGAACGCAGCCCATGTGCATGAGCCCTAACTCTCCATCATCTGCCAAAGGCTTTGGTTGAAGCAACTCTTTACTATTGCAATTACAACACTGCAAAGTTGTGAGTGGTACGAGATTTGAAGTACACTGCATTAAACATATGTCATATACAGTAACTGAGCAGTAATGTATGGTTGCATGTAGCTTTATATAAATAATAATTTGTACTGTTCAGATTGACTTCAATATACAGCTGTGGAGTTTTTCTGCTTCTTGATTTGACACAGTTTTTTTGTAAAAGAATAAATATATGAAATAAGTAAAATCAAGGTGTTCCATATTACATCATGTTTTTTGTATTCTCTTTTTTTTTGTCTGAAGTGGTTCATTTAATGCAGTAAGTCATGGGGCTTTTCAGGCTGTACATTATTTAGAGTCATACAAGTTGTTTTTTAACAGAATAACACTGGTGTACATCTGTTGTTACATTATGAAAAATATTGCTCTCACCTTTCCTTGCAGCTCAATAAACTCGTTTTACATAAGAAACCTATATCTCTTTTTTTGTTGTCCATTTATTGTGCTTTTTCTAAGATAGATAAAGAAATTCAACACAGGCATGCATGATCAAAGCCGCTGAATAGTCTCAGGATGTTTTCACAATGGATTACATCCTTTCATTAATCTAGGCATTTTCTAAGGGCTAATAAACTCAGGGAAGGTTACAATTACCAACCAGGGAGTTATAAATAAAGCTATAAAGCATTCATCTGATTCATAATTCATCTGATAGCAGCTATTCAGCCATATGTACTGCAATGATGTCACTGCCCAGGCACAGCTTGTCTTCGCTGGGAAAGTAAATTTGGGTATCGTAATTGGCAACACTGGGCTTGTGTGTTTTTAAACATCCTCAAAATGTTAATTTCATGGCTGTATAATGAAAATATATACATGTTTTAAAGCAGTGGATTATTCAGAATGCCCTCAATACAAAATTACTTAATGTAATTTTGGAATAGTATTTTGCCCCAGATCCAGTGAGTCTTAGAGCACACTGTTAGAACTGAATCCAGAAATATTAAAGGAGAACTATGAGGTGAGTGAAAATCACTCAGCCTCATAGTTCGAGCCGACGGGTGACAATGAAACTGTCACATGTCGGCTCAATAGATCGGTAAGGGAAGCGAACACATACCATCGCTCGCTCACTTCTCGGACCTGTCCCTGCAGAAAGAGGTGACTGTCACTCACGGCTCCCTGCAGGGATTCCCCCCTCCCCTGTTCGATCCTCCTGCGCTGACTGGCGGAACGGACAGGGGAGGGGGCGGGTACAGCTGGCTCTGCCTCTAGATATCCGTCTGGGATCCATCCCAGCTGCAGCGGTCTCTGTATACCGCGAGCTGTAGCTCGCGGTATACTGAGCTTTGGGTCACGGGAGGACGCTAGTTTGTGTCCTCCCGTGACCCTTAGGACAACTATGGGGAAAAACACTTACCCCATAGTTCTCCTTTAAGTCTTGAATTATAGTAGATGTAAGCCCTAACTCAATAAGCACTGTGCATCATAAACAAGCTCTATTTATTGTTTACATTTTGCATCCTTTGTTGTATCTCAACACTGCTGATCTCATGTATCCTCTTTGCTGCCACTTTCACTCTGCATGCAGGTGATTGCTACATGACATTTTTCAGGGTGGGTTTCCTGATGGTGACAATAGTGGACCATGCCTGCTTAATGTGTGTTAACATTTCCACTTGTAGTTTCCTTTGGAAGCCTGTGTGACAGAGTGACAATGTAGGAGCACAAGTTTGAAAAACTAAGTGCCCAAACAAGCACCTTCATGGCAGGATCACCAGGTATTAATTTAAAAAAAAGCTGCTTTTTTTCTCATTAGATGCTATAGCATCCAAAGTCTGGACACAGTATTTCACTATTGTCCCTGTTGAATATACTACCTATGGGCAAGTTGATTAGATCAGTATTGTGCAGAAATAATTGTACTGCATTGCAGCAATGGGGATGTGCCCCACACAGCAAAGAATGCTGGATCAAGGAGGAAGGTAAGTATTTTAGCTGGTTGGTCGAACGTAGGGGGGTGGGGTGTATTAATCAAAGGACAGTTGTACCATAGGTACAATGGACCTCTTCATGTGTTTCTAGGGGAAGAAACAGTTTTTTCTTCAGACTTTGTGATAAGTAAGAAAAATGTCTATTCAAACAAACATGTTGCTGTGGCCTTCTTTGAGAAAGATAGTGCACATTCCAAAAATTCAATTGATTTCATTACCATACACCTCTGTTCAGATAGGACACCTATTAAAATAAAGCTGTGTAAACCACTGAATATGTTAATATATTTACATGGTGTTTAACACATTCATTCTCAAAAACCCAAAATACAGAAAAAGACAGAAAATGAAACCTAACCATAAAATAAACACTTGTCATTTTTAGCAATATAGTTGAAAATCCATCACAGCCTTTTATTTCGTTTTGCCATGCTATGCCTTGTACAATATATCAGATCACACTTACCAGCCTGGTTGGTGGTGACATTTACAGAGACATACTGCCTAGATCCCAGGCTCAGCTCAGACACGCCGTTCTCAGCCTCAATTTCAAAGGTGTAATTTGTGTGTGCCTGCAGATCTATTACCATTACAGTCGAGTTTCTCAGGCCGGTTTGCTGAGGTATATAACGGACATGTATTCCACACTCCTCACATAAGCTGGAGATGGAGTTACACTTCTTGCATACAATATTGTAATAGACATCTTTCCTTCCACCCGTGTCCGCAGGGAACATCCATTCTAAGAACACGCTTGTTTCATTGATGTTGGAGATAGCACTGCGTGGAGCTGACGGTGGCCCTGATTTTATGGATACAAAATAATTGGTTTATTTTAAATATATCATAAATATCAGTTTATACATAAGCTAAATGCAAAAAATTCCAATGTGTGAAGCTAATATTAGAACAGCAGCATTATGTGCTGTATGACAAGGGTCTTGTATTATGGAGAATGTCTAGTGGTTTTGTTCATATTTTCTTTATCATGGTCAGGACTACAAACTAGTTTTACAGGAATTATATACATACTGTCACATTGCACAGCCAGGGGGGCACTCATTTTTCCTGGTTCATCAGTTCAGCTTTACGTGTCACCTCTTTACATGCAGCATATTCTTTATACAATAGGATTGATTGAGTTGAGAATCCTTACTTAGTAAATTGCATATGAATACCCAGTTATGTGTAGACTAAATAAATAGCCAGGGATCTGCTTTTCACATGACTGGATACCTAAATTGGATCTTCATTCAGTTTACTGGGTTACATTAACTCAGGAGTTAAATCTTAAAAATGCATTCAAGTACCTTAACTATTAACACAAACGTAGCTTATTTGTGTATCACTCGGCTGTAGATCCTCAAATCATCTCTGAATTCATGCTGGCACTGTCCTTCCTTCTGGAGGGTCCCTGTGTTTGTTGTAAAGTTGCTACCGCTCCAAGCTCCAATGTCCACTGAGCTGGATGGTGATGGAGGAAGTAGTAACCTTGAACCAGCAAATAGTACTATGATATCCCTGGCTCTGCAGTGTGACACACGCTATCATATGTGTTTAAATCATTAGACTAGCTGTACAGAAACAATAAACATATAATAGGGAGGTTATTCACTATTGAGCCGAAGGATACAGTCATAGCTTTGGCTGATCCTTCGGCTCTCTTCGGCCTCCGGAGCCCTTCGGTTCAGTCGAACCAAAGAGCTGCTGTACGGGCCATGAAGTGTGGAGAACGGTCTGCCATTCTCCCCCCAAATGACAGCTGGGCGGAGCCAGCCATGATCTCACGGCTCGCTCTGGAGGTACCGAGCAGAATAGCCAGCCGAATGTCACTTGGCAGCATTCGGCTATTCACTCACTGCCGTTCGGCCCCTGTGAGTATAGGTGCAAACGGCAGCGAGTGAGCTTCTGGAGTTTCGACTCAGCTGATCCAGCTGTTGTATCGGCTGAGTCGAAGTCCCTCGGCACTTAAGTTTTAAACTGATGCATTATATTTGTACTTACTGTTTAGATTATACTCATGAATAGTGTGGTACAGTGCAGAGACACTAAATGCTCATATGTACAAATCTATTACATGTGCAACAGCTCAAAATATGTCACCAACCTCCATAACTGCTACATTCCAGTGAGATATATCCTATAATTAAATGAACCAACCTATAGTTTTATAGTAAGTGGTGTACATTGAGCTTGTGCACTACTGACATCACATATTGTGATATAATATATAATTCCCGATAGGTGCCACTGAAACCAACATTTTATTTGTTGCTTTACCTTCCTCACAAGAATTAAAATTCAAAGAGTACATATAGACAGAGAAAAGTGACAGACATTAATCATCCTTTCCCTATTCACTATCAGTTATAGGTGCAAGCCTTGTAAACATGTTGCTTGTGCTTCCTATATTCCTGCACAGGTGCCCAATAGTGTTACATGAAGTGTTTATATCACCCACTTCTACTTTTGAATGCTAATATTGCTCAATAGGACCTGCCTCTAAATTAAATATTTGTATTAACAGTATGTTGGATGTACTCATGTAATCCATGCAACAGATTTGACAGTCACTTGTGACAACCATCTAGTGTAGCTGGCCTGTGTTGCATATGCATTAGATCTAGCATTCACACTCATAGAAGCTGATGGAGGCAGCTAATGTTTAGCACTCCAGAATTATTTTGTCATGTCTCAAGATAGCTGGGTGGGTGGTGGTAGATATATGGTTTCAGGGCGAAGAAGAAATGGCTGTTGATGGACAGCCTGATACCCATTTAGCAATGTCTTACTTCATTGTTTTGACTATGCCACTAATTCCCTGTGATGTATAATGTGAACTGCACTTCATCCTATCTCCTAGGCCAAACCTCAAGGTGCTGTGACACATCTTTGTCTCAAGTATTAGAGGCTCTTGTTTCAGCAGATTCCATAAAATCTAAAAGTGAACAACAGCCTATCACCTTCCATCTCTGTCCAACATATAGTGGATGACAGTAATCAGATTCATATTTTAATGGTAAAGAATCTGGGGGTATGCTAAAGCTTAGAGTTATCTTCTGAATTAGCCTTAAAGTGATCATGTGATTCACCCAAAGCATATAACATATACATGCCTTCATTTTACGTCCAGGTTGCTCTGTTCAGGAATGAAAGACATGCCTGTGTAAACTACAAGTCAAAACACAAGGTTATAGAGTCCCTGAGTGACAACACTGATTGGCCCAGTGCTGTTACATGGAGCAAGACCTATGCTCCTCTATACCCAGATGTATTGGTTATTTCCTATGTCTTTCTGCAGTTAATGGAGCCATGAAGGAGCAAAGAAAGAAAAGTGTATGCTGGGGTAAATGTAGGATTAATGGAAACTAGGGTTGCACCGATATATCGGCCGCTGAAACATATCGGCCGAAAATGGCACTTTTGGAAAAATGCAGAAAGTGCCATTTTTTTGCCGATATAGTGGTGCATCCTATTCTCTCCTCCCCACTGGGAGCTGCTCTGTGTCCCAGTGGGGAGAAGAGAAACTGTGAGCGGCCGGCGTCTCTCCTCCCTGCACAGCACAGCCTCCTGTGACAGATCAGAGGAGAGCGGTGTGGGCAGAGACAGCCAGTGCTGTCACAGTAGGCAGAGCTCCACTCGCTCAGCCTTCTGTGGCAGCTGTCAGGGAGGAGAGCGAGTACAAACAATCAGTGATCAGTGATCGCTGAGTGTTTGCACATAATTGAGGACATATTATGTTTACTATATCCTCAATTATGAATGACTATATCCTCAATTATGAATGAATGGGAAGTGATCTACATCACCTCCTGTTCATTCATGATTGTGGATGTAGTAAACATAATATGTCCAAGTTATGAATGGACAGGAACACTCAGTATAGAGGATTCCTGTTCATTCATAACTGGGGCTGCAGAAAAAGAGATTGAGGACACAGTCCTCAATCTCTTTTTCTATTTTAAAAGGGAAATATCAGGGGTCTGTTTAGACCCCCTAATATTTCCCCGAAGCCCATAGAAGAAAAAAAGAAAAATATTTAATAAAAATGAATAAATAAACAAAAATTGAATATTAAAAAATAAAAATTTATAAAAAAATAAATAAAAATAAAATGTTAATTTTTTTGAAAAAGTTAGAATAAAAAAAAAATTCGGTTTCGGTTTCGGTTTCGGCCTGACATTTAATGGAAACCTGTTGCTTTGGCCAGAATGGGAAAAGCATAGGTTTGCTTTAAATGTAATACTCTGAATCTTAACATATTTTAACCAATAAATCAGATTCCTACTCCTAGAATTGCAAGGAAAGATCATAGTTTTAGACTCTATACTCAACTATAATAAGGAATGTTAAAGTATAGGTGTTCATACATGTATATTTGTGACAGATATGTGAAGACTTGCCATTTAGGGGTAAGTGCATCTTTAATATAAAAAAAAATTCTTGTTCCCTTTTGTTATAAATAATAGTTTTGTTTAATACAGGAATGTTGCATTCTTACTTGTACAGGCCATTGTATGTGGGTCAGATTCTCTCCTATAATAGCGATCCTCACAAACACAAGAAGTTGATGCTTCCTGATGAGCATAACTGTGAGGTGGACACTTGCTGCACGACTGACTCTGAGGGGAAGACTTGAAAAATCCTGAACGACATGCTGCAAAACAAACATAATATAAAACATTACTTCTGTGCATATTAACTTTTCATATTCACATGAATATGTCATAATTTAATACACTCGTGGAATACAGATATATTTTATCTCTAAATTGTATGGAAAGCGCAAACTTTTTTTAGTTTTGGGTATAATGGAAGAGGATTAAACCCTCTATTAGGTTTCTAATGCGATCCAGGGCTCCGTTAGATGAATTTACCCTCACTTTCTGTCCAGCGACAATGGTTTCATCAGACAGGAAGAGAGGGGAAATCTCAGTGATGGTGACCACAACAACAAAGACAGAAATAACAACATTTTTCTTTAGGGGAAGGCTAAAACCCTGTCAGATTCTAGAGAAAAGGGGGAAGTGAAATCTCTCTAATGGAATACTGGACAGCAGGTAAACCATGACAGGGGTTCTAATCCCTGCCCACTCTATTCAAATCTAGAAAAAACACATTCTTGGCTTGACATATATTAAATTTGCCCCATTAAATAAGCCTCCAATCATAACTATATGAGTGGAAAGTGATGGGAGCAGACTGTATCTACTTTTACACTTCCCTTTGAAGGAACGCCTTTAAGCCCCCCCATAAAGGACCTCTATGGGCTGCATTCTAAAACAGGTTGCCAGCGAAAAGATATGAAATTTGTGCTGGCTGCAACCATGGGATTCAGGTAAGCATGCATCCATCATAAGGTGAGTAGGTTATGTTTGTTCATAAGAAATAGGCAGGAAGGATAACTGCATTCAATAAGAAAGCATTCATATCCTTTAAAATCCAGTGCTGTGAGGTTGATTTAATCTGGGTCAATGATAATTAGGAAAGAAAAGTATGAGGTCTACAGGCAGAAGAACAATAGCCTAACATTAGCCATAACAACCCATGCAACTGCTATGGAGTCCGGGGGTTAAAGGGGTCCCTATTTCGGGGGGTGTTGAGGAAAATTAAACATAAAATGTGTGTGCATGTGAAAGTTACACCAATCAACCAATGGATCAGTAAAGACTACAGAGGTTGCTGTTGACACTGACCCTGTATCCCCTGTGACATTTCTAATCAAGAACAGCTGACCTCAGATGCAACGGAGGAGACTTCAGAATTGTTGTTACTATTCAAAGATCCCCTTTGTAGGCTATGCAGTAACGAGAATGTGTTTAGCTGTCTAAGCTGCGTAGATGTATTGCTTTCAGAGCTTCTGGTCATTACGGCCAGCACTGAAATTAACTCTGTAGGCTTAACACAGTCTTCCTCAGCCTGTAAAAATCCCAGAGTGTCTCCTCAGATAAAAACTTACAAGACAGCTATTGCAGCTCTGCAAAAAAAGCTACAGTTTACAGAAGTTTGTGTTAGGTTTATAGAGTAGTTGTTTGTGGGAGTACTAACAACTTGTCAATATTATTGCTACTACAACACTTGTTTTATAAAGCATAGTATTAGACAACCTGTTTCAGCACTTGCAGGCTTTGGCATTGAAAGGGTGGGAGGACTTTACATGAAATCTCTGAGATGTGAGTTGCTAAAAAAGACTGGTGAGCTACTGAGGACAGAGTGGTTAGAATAAAAATGAATGCCCAATAATGCCCAATTCTTCCCTAACAACTTATGTCCACTGCCCTGGTCCCTAGTAGTGTATTGATTCCTTTCCACAGAGTTGTTGCAAATATACATATAATACTCTGCACATAAAACTAAATGAGCTATTTTTAATGCAGATCCTCTATACACTCAGTCAGTAATAATATAAAGGACATACATGACAAATATTGCATAAAGCCTGCTTTTGGTCTTCCCACAACTTAATACATTCAATGACATAACACTGATTTAACAAGTACAGTATAATTGATAAATATTTTTGTAAAAAGCTTGTTTTTCTTCATGTATGGTTAGTTCTTGCTAAAGTAGAGTATAGCTGCTTTGGCTCTGGGGACACGTTAGGGTTGTAGGTCAGTTTTCAAAGGATCAGAAATAATATGCTTGGATAAAAAAAAAAGTTACCATTATAGTGTTAAAATAAAATCTAAACAAAACTCTTTACATAATTTTTCACTTTAAATTAAGGGGAAATCTGAAATAAAATTGGCATACTTGTGTAAAACAATGCTGCTTTAAGTGATGGAGTATGCATAATTATACAGCTATTAGTGAGGTTTCCTTTTTTTATAGACAGTATGCATATAGCATATTGAGTCAAATATAGCTCATACCAAGCAATGCTTTTGTGTTAATGAGCCCATTCATCAACAGCCTGGTTTGTTCAAACATTTTTTAATTTGTTTGGCATTTTATTGGAACACAAACATTTTGTTAAGTTAATAAACATTACATTGAATAATAATTTATCTTTCAACATTAAATCAAACCTGCCATTCTATTTGACTTGAAAGTGAGTACAATTTAGGTTATGACAATTAACCTTTGTGGAGACTTCACCTTTCTCCAAAGTGGTTGGAGCATTTTAATGGAGGGCTTTCCTTGAATAATCAGGACTGTTTGCATATACAACAAAATATATATTTTCAGGATTGCATATTTGCATAATGTTTTAGTCACGTTGTCTGTGTTTGTGGGGTTATTTAAATGTTCTAATCTTTTCTCACTCTTATTAAAAAAAAAAAAAATGTTGGTGTTAGGCTTTAAATTAGGATACAGTCCGTGTACCCATCACACTCAGAACCGCTGCTCCATGAGATAAGAAGTGGGTATAAGTAAGGGATGGACACCGGCACTCCAAAGCAAATCCAGTACATTTATTTGTTCATGTACTTGTTGCAAATTCAATTAAAAAAATACAAGATACAATGCTTCGGGGTCTCACAGGATCCCCTTCATCAGACATTTAAATTAGGCCTCAAATGCGGTGAGCTGTGCCCAAAATAGGCAAGCAGAGGACAAAGGACTTGTCTCCATTTTACCCATTATCTCTCTTAAACTGTGTCAATGTGTGGAGGTGGCCAACTTGGTGGAGGCAGGGCTTTCCTTCCTCATGCCAGAGCTGTCCCCCGATGACTAGCAATTTGATGACATCTGGGGGAATATGCAAGGATCAGACTCAGACAGAAAGGTGCAGAAAGCACCTTTCTGCACCTTTCCTGCACCAAATGAATGAAGGAGCAGTGAGAATCCAGCAAGCAAAACAATGAGCAGCAATGACATCACCAAATCTCACACCAAATCATGTGAGACTAGCAGTCACAGGCAGCCGTGCCTTAGACAAACTTACACTGCAGATATACAGCTATGAGGCTCAAAGCACAGGAAGTGCACTGCTATTTTTTAAGGGGATTCAAAGGGTAAATATTCCAGTGAGCATGCACATTTAACACCTCTAGACGTTCCCTATAAGATAGCAAATCTTTACTTTTTAAATTAACGCCCATTTTAAAAGACCTAATTTTGTTGTGCAAGGTAAGTTGTCCACTAAAGCTTTAAAATATATGTAACAATTTTGGAGGTATGTTTTACAAAAATTGTTAAACACGTTCATATAAATCAAAGTTTGTATGCTGCATCAAAATCCCTTGCCTGATATTGCAGCAACTTGTCAATAAACCTGTCAAAAATAATTAGTAATTTTGAAAACTGTTATACTGCCTGAAATTATTTGCTGACATGGACATCAGGAAGTTTATGTAAGCATGCCAAGTTGCCCTACTTTGTAGACAGAGGTAAAATTAAACTAAGGCATGTGTTAACGCAGTTCTAAGTTATCAAAAATGTTGGTTACGGTTGCCAGTCAGGTTTTAAGGTTTTCCTGTCATTTGTTTTGGTGACAATTACCCAAATTCTCTGTGAATTAGAAAACTAAGGTATTGTGCCCAATGTCTGTTTTTTGTGTCTAGCTGATATACCGGCTTGCACTGGGTATATTTGCTAGTTCTTGGAATGAACATTTTCATATTCAGTAATTATACCATAGGCAATTACTGATCATTACTGAGTCGTGAAGCTCTCCAAAAACAGCCAACTGTAGTGAAATTAAATTAAATTTATATGAAAAAATGCAAAACAAATACATGAAAAGTAATAATATGCATGTCAAACTGCATGTTCTTATTACAACATTTCAAAGGCATTAAAGACTACTACATTATTGAGGGAACAGGTGCTACAGCAGTGATCACAAGGGTAGCAATAGACAGGGCATACATTTATACTTTCTGCCCCCATAGGCCAACTATCTTGTACTGCCCTCTTCCTACCCCAGTCCATTGTATACCTTTGTATAACAAAGAAATCCACAAGGAACAGATTCTGCCCACTCTACATAAGCTCACCTAGAACTGACAACTAGAAAAGTAGACAAATTCATCATTCTACTCTAGAACTTTAGTTGTAGATGCTAAAATAATTGGAGAACTGTAAGTACACAGTACACTTTTCCAACAACAAAATGCGCAAAATTCACAGGAACATAATGATAAGGGCCAGTAAGTCCAGCGCCAGTCAGAGTGCCAGTTTGAAAACCTTTATTACAGCCCTACCTTCCTAAACTATTTGCTTGTGTTGGCTATCTAGAAACCTTGTCCATGGAGTAGAAGAGCTATGTGTTTGCCTAAGGTGAGGCTCTCCATATTATTGTGCCCTTTTCACCCTCTTTGGATTAGGAACTACAACAATCTTCATCACTGCCTGAGCGAAGTGTGCTTCAGCCCTATAATTTGACTTATATCCTTCAGGTATAGACCGAAGCTCAGTTCTCTTTTATACTTTCTTTTCTATGATAGTTTTATAACTTCTTTAGTTAAAACATAGATCTGTGTCTTACTTAGAGGTAATTTTCACTGTATTTATTTGCTATTATGTATTCTTAGCTGAAGGCTAGATGCAAAACATGTTTAACAGTCCCGTACTTCACTGACAGCTCACATTCAGTCCGGATTATAAAGGCAGCGGTGCTAAAGATTACTGCAAGAAAACAATCAGTAGCTTTATGAGTTGAAACGAGCGCACAAAAGAGACTTCTCAATAGAGACAATTCTCGTAGTTTAA